GACCTCGATTGTCAAATTGTCGTACCATGTCAACGTCGTTGAAGCTTCCCGAGAGGGAATTGCCGCGCTCAACAGGGTGAGAAGATTTAAATACAGTTGGGATTCCTCAGCGACAGTCAAAATACCGGAATCGTATTTACAACTTATCAATGAATTTGTTGAACAGCGAAACGCGCGAATGCAACAGACGTTGGGGAAGAGCAGACAGTTTACTGTCGAGGAAGTACAAGCGTACAGCCCCTTTGAGACGAATGACGTGTCACTCGAAGAGCTCAAGGCCTCCGTTAATCTGGAAGGCGAAGATCCTCAAGATGTGTTGCAGTTTATCAATGTTGTACCTGTTATTGAGCTACCGGAGGAACAGCCCGCATTGGACGAGCCGATGGATGACGTTGCGACAGCCGACGTAAAAGTCGAGCCGAAGGTTGAGGAAACCGACGCGGACGTTGAGATGCCCGATAGCTATACAGGCGCAACCGACGAAGTACCTGGGCCTGATACTGGTATCGCAGGCGTAAATGCCTTGCCGACAGCACCAGAACCTGATCCACAGATGGCGAAGATCGAGGCCGAGGTTCTTGATGTTTTGGCTGATGATGAAACGACTGTTGAAGAAGGTGCAACCGGAGATGTTCCTATGATCCCTACGGACGCGGACCAACCCGCAGAGGGTCAAGCATCTTCATCTGACCCGAGACCACCATTGCCGCGATTGCGAGGCAAAGGGCAGGGACAAGGCACCCCTTCGGTCGCTCCCGTAACGGGGAGCTTTCTTGCACCTGAGAACAACGACAGCCCCGACTTGAAATTTTCTGGAAAAGGGAAGGGCGTTCTCGTTCGCGAGACGAAGCCTAACCCCGAGTACAAAAATATGCAGGTCGAGGTTGAAGAGGTTCTCGGAAGGTATCCTTACCCGAATCACCTACTCAAGGCCATCGGGAATGGCAACATCCAACTCCTCGAGGATGAGCTGGGCCGCGACGCCAAGCAGTACGTGCTGTACCACGTTACTGGCCATAGGTATTATTATGTATATGAGGATTATCATCATGGGCCTTGGGAGTGGTGCTGCTCCTGGCCACCTCATGTTCGTCGCGGTATTTCTGGTCTTCTTCGTGGACACGTCCCAGACGTCAGTATTTATGATCCGGCGTGTTATTTGCCAATTTACAAACTACTAGATTTGGCGAAGGCCAAATTCCCTGATTATGCTGGTTCTATGAATGTTTTTGAGTTGATTTCGATGGCTATTTATGACCACAAAGATCGTTTCGAATTTCAATGCGTGTACGACTCTCGTGTGAACGAGCAGCTCGAACTTTTCGCCGCCCCCGTCAAGATCCGATGTGGACAAGGCCACACTGACGACGTTCTCGGGACGCGATCAAATGAAGTGCTAGCAGTACTAATCTACTGCCGTCCTGACCATGTACACAGGTACAATGCTCGTTTGACAGCGCACGGGAACCGCGATATACCACCTCGGCTTTACCACCGAACGCATGAAGGTGCTGCGCGATCCATTATTGCGAGCGGGCTCATTCCCGGTGGTGGAGCCGGTGGACCGAAAAGCAAAGGCAATTCCTTCTTTTCAACACAACCTCTGGGAAACCAGAAGGCGATATCTGGTTCGTGCTGACCGACCAGTGGAGATTTGTTTTTCAACACCGGATGTGATTGAAGCAGGAGTTGATCTTTTCCTCACAAATTCTGGCGCGGTGATTACCAGCCATCACGTTCCGAATACGTGTATTCTATTTGCAACTCGAGCCCGCGCAAATGCGGAGCCAGAAGTTTTCTATTCGAGGCCGCAGGCATTGGATCCTTCGAACATTGAGGTCGGTGTTCCGCAAGATGATGTGACATTGGTCCCGGGAAAAGTGTCGGAAGTACGCACCATTTTGGAAGGTACAAGCGACGCCACTCCCGAAGAACGCACAGCTAGCAGCAGTGCCGCAAAGAAGGAAGAGATGGAGGCAAATCGCAATACAGCTGTACCACAGATCGAGAGTGGATATTTTCTACATCTTCGAACTTTCAGCTGCGATAAATGCACGACACTTTCCTTAGCAGGAATGGCATCTTGTCATCGATGCGGAGTAGTATTTCAGAGCAATACAACAGATGGACCGATTTCAAAGTTTATGCGACTTCAGATGAGGCGTGCAAAGGTGCTACAAGAGCAGGGGGGCGTGCCCAAGAACATGACCGCAACAAGCATGCTTGACAGCATTGCCGCGCAGGACCTACAGTCTGGACGACCTCCAGCTCGTGGCAGCCCGTCAGTTGACAGTCAGATTATTCTTGCAGCTCGCAGTCGCCTTCGCAAAGCATTGAAATCAGGGTATGAGAATGTATTCGATCGATTCAACCGCGACGACGTCTTCGCCACCTCCTTAACCGGAGAAGGATGCACAGCGTTTGATGCAGCGCAAGAAGACTTGTTTGCGTCACTGCAATTACCGGCACCCACGAGATCAGCGAAGCAGAGATCAAAAGGGAAGTCGGTTGTCAGTGATTTGGATCGACTGGACAGGGTTGACCTCGCCAAGCTCGCGTATATTCGATGCGGTGTTGACAACCTACATACCTGTTTCAAGCAAGGCGTCGACGAGAACTTTCTGATCAGTTATCGCCGAGAGTTTATGTCACTCCGACAATACGCCGCCGTAATTGGCGATAGCCGAGATGAGATCAAGATCCAGGGCTTTATCCCCACGACGGACGTCTATGGCGATATTCATTCAATTCGTATTCCTCGTGGAGGCACGACAGGCATTTACAAGATTTTGAGTGAATTTGCAGAGCAGAATGAGAATTATGCAAACATTCAATATCAGAGAAACGCGCAACAGTCTGCAAATGTGCAGGGACGCGATCGTGGACAGCCAGTTTCACAGATGGGCTTCATGAACATCGAACAGCGCATGGCCACGCCTTATCCCAAGTTTGCCGACTGTGGCCAGGACATGTCGTCTGACGAAGTCAGAAGGTTGGAAGAACTTTTGTTGGAGTTTGGACAGCGTGGATCCCCATCTCCTCAAGGACCTGTAACAAGGCCCCCGTTGACGCGGAAGCGATCGCAGATGTATATGGAGACTATTGGAGATGCAGACAAACGACCGAGGCTGCAGTGGAGGAGGAAAGAAGACCGAGATCAATCTGGTCGTATTGCAACTTGGGTTGACAACCGGACTCCACCGCCAGGCGTGCCTCAGCCGCCAGCTCCCGTAACAGGGACGCATACCTCGTCGGTATTCAGTATGAATGCACCTCCTGCTCAAGGACAAGTTTCAGGAAAGGGTGACTCCTCTAAACAGGATGTCGGTGAACGGAGAGATGTTTCTGGAAAGGGCAAAGGCCAAGGCAGTTCTTCGGCAGCAGGCTCAGCCGCTCCCGCAAAAGGGACGCCGCGTGGTTCTGTCGCCCGAGCAATTTCCCAGAGCCGTGTCCTTCCACCTAAACGTGGCAACATCCCCAAGGACCTCTTGGGTCCCCCAACTTCACCGCCACCGTTACCTGCACCCAACAACCCACCTGCAACTGGCCTTTCACCAATCTCCAAGCCACGTCCAGCAAAACCTTCACCTCCGAAGGTCCCACCACCAAAGGTGCCTCCTCCAAAGGTTCCTCCACCGAAAGTGCCACCCAATACAGCCAGTGGCATTCCGGTACATACAAGGCCGACAGATTTCAATCTCACGCCGAAGCCGCCGCCGCTTACAGACCTTTACAGTCGGTTGCAACCTTCCGTAAAAGGAAAGGGCAAGGATAAGCAGCAGGTGAGTGTTCGAGGAGGACCTTATGCTCCACAGCAATGGAATGTACAAAACGTGCCACCGCCGCCATTGCCACCCGGAACTTCATCCGCTTCGGCATCATCGTCACATAATGCACCCTTAACTGGGCCTCCGACTTCCAGCATTCGTGGAACTATTGATCGACCATTGGAACCCTTTGATTTTCCTGGAGTACAATGGCAACGCGATGACCCATGGGGCGAGAACTATTGGCCCAATCACATGGAATTGTGGGAGTGGTTGAGGCAGGGATGGCATGACGAGACGGAGCGTTTTGGAATACAATTTCTTTAAGCAGATGTTGAATAGCTACCATAAATGGTATGCCTTGCAGCTTATGAGTGTTGAGATAAAGATCACCTTCTGACGCGCTGTGAGATGATGTTTCACTTCATTGTCTCACTTCCCAATGCATCCATAACAGGATTGCCATAGTCGGAGAGTGAACTTTTAATCAATGCTTAACACTAACCTGGGCCTAGCATGTTTAACCACATGCCGAGTGAGGCGAAAACTGTACATTAGGGTAGCTACGTTCTCCTTGTATAGTGCATGCACGAGCTTGATGAGGGATTTCTAATATGATTCCTTCGTCGCTAGAATTTGATCCTCCCCGAGATTTTCCCTACGGGTAGCTCCTTGTAAAGGGGGGTGTTGAAATTCACCTCATCCCCATGGACCCCGTAGCGTTGACTCTCAAGGTAGAGCAAAAGGTAGCGCTTACCGGACTAGCAGGGTTAGCTAGGTAGTTAGTACTATTAGAGCTGATCCTGTAAAATACACTTTTCAACCACCGATTGTTTGTGACCTCCACACCTGATATTGTTCAACTACTTCTTACATCGCCTGTCTCTCCCCGAAAAACGATGGCCGTCGTCTGGGAGACGGTGAGGAGGGCGTCTTCGCGTTCGAGCCCTTTGTGACCGAAGCGGAGGCCAAAGAGACCCTCGGAGCGGGACATCGAAGGTGACGAAGGGTAAGCCACAAGGGTAAGGCACAGCCTCCAAGGGCAATGTGGTGAGGGCCATGGTTACTGATTCATGATATATAAAATAGACTATATATATAAGAGATCTGTAAGGCAGGCATACATTCCAGAAGCGGCACGGAACAAACATGAGCAAAAGAATCATGAGCACTCCATTCAGCACAAAGTTCATCACCAATGAGGAATCAATCACTCGTGACTGAGGACACAGAATGTCTCCGTGGAAGACTTGGGCTGCATGGCCGCAGGGCAGCTTCTAAAATGTGGCAAACCCATGGATAGCATGACACGAAAGCACCGCAAATCAACAAAAGTAGGGTTCCAGTATCAAAGTGTCATGTTCGAAGTTGCTCGTTCATCAGTTTGAGCTGCAATACATATTATGTATATAGCACATATATATATATACATACATGTGCCAGTATATGTGCCCAATAGACCGCCCATCATTCCTGTCGCCGGTGGGGTCAGCGGTCCAGGCGGTTCCACGACGAACTCGTCCATCGGTCGAAGCTCCTTTCACAGGCACCGATGAGCTTCAACGCTTGGTCGGGATGGCACAAGCGGAATTGCGAAAAAGAGGCCCACCGACCACGACGGGCCGATGGGTGTTTTCGATGGTTGTTCTGAAAGAGGTGAAGAGGCAGACTTGATAGATCTTGATAGACTCATGATGTGAAGAGGCTTTAATCTACAGTCCAAAAAGGCAGTTCAATTCTCGACTCGGTAATTACATCACTTGCTACATGCTTTGCCGTGTTACTTTCAACATTTTAACACCCATCAGATGATTGCTGAAGCTTCATTTGTTCCCATTTCCTGGTGTGCTGACATGAAGCAGCTGGTGTAGACGCTCGCTGGCTGACTTATCACACCTTCCGGAAATTGGGCTTGAGCTCGCCTTAGCCAAGTGGCTAGCTCTTGGAGAGGGCGATGGAGAGAGAGAGAGAGAGAGAGAGAAAGACAGAAAGAAAGAAAGAAAAGAAAGAAAGAAAGAGTTCTATTCTAGAGTGATGGGCTGTGTGCTCAGGCAGTCATTGCATTCCCCAGGCGCATTTGCATTGCGCCTCCGAACTTGTTTTTCGCTAGGTAGCGACTCAGAGCTGGGAACTGAGCTGGGTGCCGGGCCTGAGGTGCGGTGCAAGTTTGTGCGGTCGTCGGTCGTTTTTGTTTCCTATGATGTTGGTGCTTGTTTAAAACACCTGTTGAACATCGACCTCGGAGCAAGACGATGCAAGACCGGCTGGTCCGTTGGAGGCAAGCGACACCATCGGCCACCAAGAAGGCATGGCCTCCAACGGAACCGAGGACGCCTTGACCGGACGCCTCGACCGCTCAGCCAGCTACGCTGGTTCCGACGCAGCGGCCCAGCGATCGGTGGAGTCTGGGTGATGTCGGGGGATCATGGGGGATCTCGGTGGATCTTGGGGGATCTTGGATATCTTGGTAGGCAATTTGATGTCAGTTTTGTGTGTCATTCTTTTGGGATGTTTTTAGGAAGCATGGAGTTGGACGTTGCAGTTTGGGATGCCCACGGTTTGTTTCGCACGCCACTCGTCATGCGGCGTGACGGCCTGACAGCATGTCCAGACAGTGCTCAAATTGACAAGTTCACAGCAGTCACTGGTGGAAGTGGAAGCACTTAGATGTTTTGCAACGGGTTTTGGTCACTTATATAGATGTTTGCAAGTTGATGCAAGTTGCAGGCGGTCGCATGTTCAGTTTTTCGGGGATCCTGTCGCTGATCTGAGGCAGGCTGTGGATATTCCAAGTACTATGGCAATAGCCCGAAGGACAAGAACTACATCGTGCTTTGTTCGTACTACCCATCGAACCCTGTGCATGTGTCGCACACTCCCCGACGTGTTTTTTTTTAAATGAAAGTGGAGAATGGACCCTCACGGATGACAAGGATAGTTCGCAATCGGGTGGTTTGCCACTTCTATGACTATGATTATGTCAAAGAGTGTCACACTACATAGTGGCATAGTTACTGTAGCCATATCACAAGTAAAAACAGCAAGCAGACAATACAAGAATGGCCACATGAGGAGGACAAGCAGTGGTTAGCCGGTTAGCACTACAAGTGCGTGGCTTTGACAGAGCGACGCAGGCGTGGCGAGACGATCGGACGAACAGACACGAGCTAGCAGCACCTGTATGAGCAGCACTTGTATACAAGGGTGCCAATGCACAGTGGGGGAGCCGAGTCAACACTTTAAGACTCAGACTTATATGTATTTGTGCCTACAAGAGGGCCAAGAGGGAGGTTCTATGCAAAAAAGCAGAGACGGTGGCAGTACAGGACACCGACTTGGAGCACCGAAAACAGAAATGGCAACGACTCACACCACATACTGGTCCTTGCTGCAACATTTGCACAGGTGGTGCAGCTACCGTGGCCAGACGAAACCCGAAGAGGGAGAGGAGTACTACAGATGGCTTGCTTGCCGCAGTACACCAAATGGATCCCATGTACTACAGATGGCTTGCTTGCCGCAGTACACCGAATGGATCCCAACCAATGGAGCTTGGAAAGTACGACACGGGAAAGCCATTGAAAAAGAAGAACACAAAAGCAGGTGCCAAGGCATTGTGGCGCAGCAAAACGGCAGCTACAACACTTTCCAGGAAAGAGCAGCAACTACACAAAGTGCATATCGTCCACCACTACGGTGGACAACTTGAATAACATGAAATAACTATGATTTTTTGAAGCGCTTGGGCTACAACCAAACTCACTGCTCTGGCACCTGCAGCTAAAGGTCATCGACATGGAGTGTACAACTATATTTGACCTGCTGACACCTGCCTGCAGTCCCACAGGGGCAGGCAGCTATATGCAGCTTGACTGTCAGTGCTCCAGAAAAAGAGCAACTGCATTTTTGTTGCGATCACAACGGCTGAACTTCAATACCCTCCATCTTACCCAAACGCATTGTTACCGAACCAGGTGCATTCGCGAATCCTCAGCATGGGATCGGAGAAAACACCAGAAGTACAAGTGCAAAAAACTCAAAAGTGTTACAGAAACACCAGGCAACTTATCAACCCACCAGCAACTACCAACCATACGGCAACTATATATATATATTATAACTATATGACTATGGTTCAAAAAGAAAGTACGTCGACATTGTGAAGAGAAAGAGAGAGAGAGAGAGAGATGGTGGTTGTAAGAGAGGCGTATACAGTTGTTTTACTTGCTCTTGGCTGTTCAACTCCTTTTATGTTTAGTGACAGGGCAGAGGTCCGCCAAGAACATGCACTGACGCTCCTACTCACAGGAGCTGTGTTTTTGCAAGCTTGCTGGGAACTCCGGATGTGCGAGCAAGAAGTGCACCTGCCCGCAGGGCTGTGGTCGCAATGTACCTTGACTGATGTCCGCAAAGATAGGTCGGCGGATAGCTCCGAAACGTTCCAACATGAGATTAGCACACGGGACTGCTAAATTTAGGATGTATATACCAGGACCCTCCAAGGGGTGTCTATTTATAGCCCCTTAGCTGTTAAGGGGTGTCCATTAACCACCCCTTGAAGGCCCTGGTATAAACATATATATATATATAATACCTAGAACCCATCGGACCTCTGGTTTTGATAGGAAAAGACCATGTTTTGGATCCCAAACAGGGGTCGATCAGGTTCTAGGGATATGTTTCCTTGCCTTCACTCCAACTTCAGGCCCCACACGGGCCACACATCCCTGCTGCGCCCTGACGTGAGGTGGTCTGGGAATCCAGCGAGAGCGTCACGTTCAAGAACCGGGCACGCGCTAATGGATGTCACCCCTCTACTGTGCTGCTGAGCCCTGGCACGGCATGGCATCACCCATCGAAAGCCAGTCAGTGGGAAGCCTTAAGCTTGTTTGGGGATTCGTTTCCGCACCAATCGAAGACACTTTCTAGGGAAACCGAGGGAGTCCGTCACCCATGTTTTTGATTTTGGTCCCAGTGCGTCAGTGCAAAGACATGCTAGGACATGCATGGAGATGCATGGACACATGCAAGAGCATGCAGTGTTCTGACTCAGGTGGTTCCCCCTGCAATGACTGAGAATCCCCAAAGCATCCGAACACTGAGCGGAGTTCGTCAGGTGTTCATCCTCCAGAAGCCGTCACCAACTGCATAAAGACTTTTACTGCAATAGATAGACCATCGTCGGCTCGCATGGCCATTTTTTCTATGAATTGCCTATGATGTCTCGTTCTCCATGTGACTTCTCCTTTCGTTGTGGGGGAACATCCCCCCGGCTAACACCCGAAAGAAGGGACTTCCCACCATCAGAACCTGATGGCATGGACCAAACTGGAAGATCATGTTTTCCTCCAGCTGCACCAGTGGTTTTCGGGTTTCGCAACGTCCACGTGACATCGTCTTCCCCCTTTTGAGGACTGCTCCGAAGGCCTACTACGGAACGCCGGCGGATCTGAAGAAATGTGGCAACGCCGTGTCAGTGGCCTGGGCCAGAAAGATTGACAGGAGACATGCACAAACTTACTTGACATTGTGTATAAGATGCTTACAGAGCATGAGGTATAACATTGTAGTTATAATCAAGAGCATGTAAATCCACACCTGTTTATTTATATATAAGTTGTATGATATTGCGTGTAACCTTTAAATCTAGTGGTTGTTTGGGGTTCTGTCCGCCAAATCGACCTGTTGGGGACTTGGGTGATCAGGGAAGGCTTCGGAGTTCTTACTTCATTCGTTGTACAAGTGCTTCCTTCGGTTCCTGAAGAAAAGGTATCAGTTGGTTTCTGAATCCTGGAGGCATGAAGCTACGGTGGCAGCTCATGGCAGAATCATTAGAACGAACACTTGTGCCCCTGTTGTGGCGAATGGACCTATTTGGCATATGTGGTTCATTTCCGTGCTATGTTGCCCAGGTTTAAGTAATTTTAAGTAATCCAAGTAGTACCAAAGCAGAGCAGCTTGAGCTTTGGAAGCTCATCACCAAGGTGATTGAGATGCTTCTGAGAGATAGCTGGAACATGTACCAGTCTCGTGTGTGGCTGGGTTTGACATTGGAGCTTGCACTGCAGGTTGTGTAGTGTAGCGGTAGAGGTGACAGCACCAGCCGGCCAATGAATGATGCAATGTTGACCTTATCTAACATTGGCAGGTGGCGCATGACAATCATTACATTTACGGTAAAGTGTATATTCAATGTCAAGGAGTCGTGGCCCCGCGCTGCCAAGGAGTCGTGGCTCCATGAACCAGTGTTTCCACGGCTCACACACAGCTAGCGCCACTTGAAACGACAACGTGTGGAGATGAATGGAGATGTATGGAAATTATGCGAAGTGTTGGTTTGAATGCAGAGACTGTTTTCAATTCCCTTGAGTTTGTTATTTGTTTTTCAGTTCGTACCTGGGTCAATTTGCACTCATTTCCTGTGTCATGCTTTTGTGTTTTCACCCCAGAGAAGATTCAATTTGCAGCTCGCATGATGAGACAGTGCCATCACCCCACATCAGCTGTCTGAGCTTGGATCAGCTTGATTAGCGGCATGTGCCTTGTTGGATGTTTTCTAGGTCAAGTATTTGCATTTGCAGTCCTTCTGCTCTTACGCATCCTTTCACGCAATGCCCAACAGCACCTCGCTAGGGATCGGGATCTCGGGTGCGACCGGGAGCCGTCGGTGTTTTGGGCCGGTCATGTGCAGGTGAAAGGAACTTCAAGGTCAAGTGCTGCATTGCCAAACGGAGGAACCTTATTAAGTTTACTATATATGTTATGTATTTCTTTATATACTCATATATGCATAACATTGCATAAGTATACAGTATATTATACATATCGTTTGTTTTAAATCCAAGCTGCAAGTGTGAACACGTGTAAGTTTACGGGGTCAGTTTTTGCGGGATGGCCCATAGGTCAAGCACATGCGTTATCTCTACTGGTTCTGTGTTTGTTTGAGAATCAACATTGGCAGGTTTTAGTTCTGCTGTTGAATTGAAATTGAACAAACTGTTGGGTTTCTCAACGTTTCTTGAATGCTCCACGTATGCTCACGCTGAAATTGAAGCCCTCGAGACATCAGCACGTTTGCTGTTGTTCTTTTTGGGGGTTGTTCCATCAACATTGCCAACCACCATAGGATTCGGATTTCGTGTTCCGATCAACCCGACAACACAAAGAGCTATATCACTCTATGATACTCTATGCTTGAACGTTCTCTAATTATTTTTTACATTGGCAAAGAAAAATAGTCCTCAGATTCCTGAGTTCCTAACTCACATGTGACAACAGTCTCCACCTCCCCGAGCCCACCGAAAAACGGGGGGAAGTCCAACAACACGCACGCTCTTCTTGCTTCGTTCGTTCCCGAGACAACCATGCTGTCGGCGTTTGTGTGAAGATGCGGAACATCAACGAAGCCAGCAGCTTGGCCAGGCGATCCGGCGGTGTTTTCACCGCACAGAACGGGTGGGCGTTCTGCCGGGGTTCTGCGTCGTTTGGGTTCCGCACATGGCAGATCATGGCAGCACTTGTCACGCACAAGTGATTTGTTGTGGTCTAGAGTTTGCGGACAAAGAGTAACAGTATTACCCAGACACTCCATGTATGCCATATATGCCTACATTGGGGTGGTTTGAGGGCCCAATGTAGGCATATATGGCATACATGGAGTGTCTGGGTTATGTATACTATTGTTTGTCAAAGCATGGGTTTCATGTTTTGAACATGCTTATCCAAGGTATAAGGTGTTTTATAATTTGTTCGACCACGTTGCCCTGAAACATTATGCTCCCGTACTACTTGACTTCCTTTTCTTCTCAAACCTGTGGGCACCAAAGAGCTTGTGAGACATGCCGGAGCTCCCAAATAGCTGGTTCAGACATCAGTTTCCAGGTCAGTTTGAAGCCCTTGTCGCATGTTTTGTTCGCCAATTGATGCACCTTACTTGCTTGGGCACTTGCGAGACCAGACCGGCTGAACGGCTTGGCCGCCAGGAAGCTCTACAGCCAGATGCAGTGAGTGCGTCGTTTTCAATGCTGGAGGAGCAAACACCAGCACATGGCCAACTGGGGAGTGGAGGAGCAAAGAACTTTGAAAAGCGTCAAACCGTTGGCCAACTGGAAACGATGATGGTTCAGACCACATCTACAGACTCAGATTGATTCCATTTTGATATATATATATACATATATATATATATATTGATTTCATTAGCCTTGGAAGCTTTGATCGTAATTGAAATCACTTGCATTTGATGTTTTGAACTCTTTGACCGGTCCAGTTTGCCCAGCAGTCTAAAGCACACATACTCACCCCGTGTGAAATTGTCCCCGCACCAACTGCTAGAATTTGTTGCAAGTCAGCAGGCCACGTGCCGAGATCAACTTGTTTTGGGTTGCAACAAGGTGCTGTCGGAGATGCGACAAGGGGTGAACCACCTGAAACCCATCTAGGATTGGTGTGTGCTCATTGTTATAAACTTCCCCTGTGAGAACTTACCTGACCAAAACATATGTTTCAAACTTTCAACCTTTTATTTCTGTGTACCCTGTTCTACTCTGTTCTGTGTAACCTTTTACTCTGCGTACTTCTCAAAAACAACCATAGTGCAACAATCTTGACGCCCTAAACTCTCATGACGCTTGATCGAATCAAACTCCAGACCCTGCATCTCCCCGTTGACTCGTTGACCTCTGGAAGTGAACGAACTCCAAACCCAGTCAAGGGACCCGGAAGCGGATTAGGACGTCGCCGGGCTTCCGCCCTAGTAAGAAAATTTGATGCCTTTCTGTGCCATTTGCGGGGAAGATGCAGGAATGCCACAACGGGTTGCCCAACAGAGACGCAGGGTTTGGAGTCTCATAAGGCGTCAATCGCTGACTTGACCTTATTATCTTACAGAGTTTGCAAACCTCCCAATGGAAGCCCATCATACCACCATTCTAACAACTTTGAGCTATTTTCGGACCGCAACAATAATGCGTAAACGTTCTTCCCTTTGCAGTTGAACCGGTAAGAGAACCGAGAACGGCGCAAATAATGAAATGTACATGCATTTCCAGCTTTGGGTCTTGCAGGTAGTAGGCAGATGTCCTGTTTTGCTGCCGCTCCCGCTTCAGCCCTGTATCGAGAGTGCTTTTGAGTGCCTTGCGTGAATGTGCGCAGCTCTATAGGCGTTGACACTTTCCTGTAGGCAGAATGGATGTATATAGCCTTGGTTGGACCAGCGACCAATCACAATCCATTCTTGATGTGCGAAAGGACAACTCGCGAGCAGGTTCGAGGACAACTAAAAGGATCTATAAGGTTATTGGTTTGAAAGTTCGCCATGTTTGCATTTTGATGCATCATCTGTTTTCAAGTCAGGTCCCATCGTCCACACCGACGCCCCAGGCCACGAGCACGATGACCGTTCGTCGCTTCGCGGCGGGGCCCACGGCTGCCCCCCGTGCCCCCCGCCGGACCCCCGCGCCCACAATGTTGAGCGAAAAAGAAGTGATCGAAAGGACTGGGCATGACACGGGCACCGAGACTCGCGTGGCTTTAAAGGGCGAGGTGACCGAAGTTGACCCAAGTTTTTCAAGTCACTGAGTAAACATGGAGGAAGCAGGGGATTTGGCCTGGACATGCGGAATGATATGCGGAATCTGCCTACCCCAAACTGGTTTTGTGACTCGTTGGCGCTGCCCAGGCTCCCGCGAGATACCTTTGATCATGCTCGCTTGGCCCTCATGTCCGTGGATCGTGGAGATGAAGGCGAGTGTTGAAAAAAGAAGTCCTGTTGAAAGGCCTGAAGATGGTTCTTTGGCTTTTGGCCCTTGCCTGTGAGATATGAATAGAAGTTTGACTGCCCATGTCGGAGGCATTGAAGTATGGTTGTTGCCGAGAAACCTTGAACTTAAATATCAAGCAATCAAGCATAGTTGACTTGCACAAAGCTGTGCGTATATATATATATAATATACACGTGCCTCTTCAAGAAGCAATGGTCATAATGAGATGAAGCCGGAATAGTGAGCGGTTTGTGCTGAATGTCCATGTTGAATCCTGCATGTTCACCACCTCATTCATGTTCAGTGCCGTTACTGAGCTCTCCCAGTGACACATCAGTGCGGGTGGGCTGTGCTGTCCAGCAAAGGTGCTGTGTTTTTGTAGCCCAGGTCACAAAGACTTGTCCGAATGCGAGATTTGCCGCCAGCTCAGCAAGTCCAACCCACGCCTTCTGTTTCTTCAGCAGCGTCGACCACCGACCGGACCGAACGGTACATGTTCTTTTTACCGTTCACCAGCTCTGGTTTGGTGTACAGTAGTGACCACGTTTGGCAACGTTTTGTTCCCCTAAGATGTTTCGCAATCTTTACACTGCGGTGGCGAGCTAGTTTCGACTGAAAGAGGTGGTATTTGCCTCAAAGCAAACGACCAGTGTATACCGCTGGCCAGGTCTTGTTGAATATGAAGAAGGAGACGAGCTTATTCGACTACCATGCTTTGGGCCTTAGCAAGATGGTGATGCATCCGATTTCATTGCAAAACCAGTCATTGAAATTATGGTCTAGACAGCATTGGCAAGATGTTTGCTTACAACAAAAAACACTTAGGTCCCTTCAGACGTCAGACCGTGTGAAGTTCGCTTTGCACGAGGTACTCAGAAGATCTTGGACGGTGAATAGTTCTGCATGTGTTCCCTTGCAACGCTCCTGGCCTTACTCCTATGAGCAAGAAGCTACTAGGAGCAAGGCCATCGCTACTGGGGGCTCCTCCTGGCATCACTACTAGGAGCATTCTTATTACCAAGGGAGCTGCAAGTGCTATGTCTCTTGCCTCGATGTTGTTCAAGAAACGAGGCTTGCATCTTTTTCATACCCAATGCGTTGGGGAACCCAGCAGATCGCAACGCAATCCCGGTTTCAGACACATCCAGTCAAATCCTGTCGTTTGAGATTGGGAGATGATGGGGGATGCGTGCAGCAACAGATCGAGACCTGAACCAATCATCAGTCATCCATGTTTTTGTTTCTCCTGCTGAATGCCCATGGCACATGAAACTCCAGGAGAAGTGTCTCGTGACACCTGTGCCTTCCGCCAAGAAGCCTCTCCCCAGGCTTCCAGCCCCCAGCCGAGGTGACCCCGTGGCTGCAGAAAAATCGCATTTGCCCAGTTTGTCAAATTGACGCCCTCGAGGACTGAGACGAGGGACAGAGACCAAGCAGCGAAGTCAGCCATCTTCAAGTGCGAAGATGGGTGAAGTAGATGCACAGTGTTCTAATGTGACGACATAGTTACTTCCTGGAACTCTCTGAGAATCCATTTCTGGTGTGTGTGGGTGCAAATGCTGCACTCCGTCCGACTACTTGCTTTGAAGCAAAAAACACCCAACAACCCACCCGCTGGCAGGCATACGGCTGACGCCGACCCGCACTGATAGAGGCCAACGCACGATCCTGTTGGTTGCACGCGATAGTGGAACTGGGACGGATATGTCATCGAGCGCACGGACTCGACCAGCCCAGACATCCGAAGAGTTTCGCGATCAAACCAGCGAAGGAAGTGACGTCGTGTGATCATGTGGTTTGAGACGAAAATTTATTCTCATGACTATCGCGATGGTGACTGAATGTCAAGCAGCCTATCCCGAAGTGGAGGGAAACTGCTTGTGATAGCTTTTCTGGGTGCCATGAGAGAGGTGCCAGGTGCTGAGCTGTTGGCTTCGCCAGAGTCATGGCTCCCCACTTCTTGTCCAGCCGTGGGGTGGGGGCGGGGGAGTGCAAATATGAAGAGCAGAGATGCTTTGAAGATCTTTGAAGACGCATGGCTGTGGGTCAAAAGCCGGACACCCTGCTTGACCCCTGAAAATGAACCGACTTCTTTAGACTCTAGAAGGGATCTTAACCTACCTGGTTTGGTAGGGTAGGCTTCACTAACAGCCATGTGCGTTTTCTTTTCTTCACCTGAGACAGAGACAAGATGAGACAAAGAGCATCCAAAAACGGGGCGATGGCACATGGCACCTCTCAAGTCAGTTTGGCCTTCCTGCGTTGGCAAGTCTGAATCTGTTTTCCGCAGCTTGGTCTCACCTCCTTGGGCTGGATTGGATCCTTCCCCAACCAGCCACAAATGATCATCCAAATACCATTACCCCTAGGTCCTAGGTCAAGTTCAGAAAGACTCAACCTTTGACCCTGTTAGGCCGGACAAAAACATGCTAGAAGGGTGGTTGTTGCTGGACCTTCCAGTCCTTTGTCGGAACCCGACGACTCTACCGGGCTCCGGTGGCTACAGCGCGTTCCGGGCCGAAGAGTTTTGGGTCTGTTTTGGAGGTCGACCTTGTTTGGGCGGCCCCCTCAAACTTGGCTGCATCAATTTGCATCAACCAGTTTGAACGGAACAGCCCCTCCCAGACTCCCCCCCCTCCCCCGTTGGTATGTTTTGTTTTGGGGGGTTCATGGAAAGAGTGACAAAGAACACACTGCAGCCACCATGCTCATCAGCCCACCTCGTTTTCCTGTGTGCATGGGCTTTTTTGCGACAGTCAGTGTGGCTCCACGCAAGCATCTTCAGACTTCAAGGAAGCATAGCATTGTAGAGAGTTGAGGTGCGCGGACATTTGCTGCGTCTTGTTCAAACACTCACCAAACTAGCCGCCAATAGCTGCTGAGTTTTGCAGACACTGAAAATCACAACTAAACCTCGGAGGCACCGGCCTTCAATGCAGTACTCTCAGTACTGTAGCTACCTAGCCCTTGACCTTTTGCCCGGCTGCCTGGCTTCTTCCCACAACTTAGCTTCGTTAGACATGTTGAACAAACTCTCACAGCATCGATGTGCAACGCTTAGTTTCTCAGGTCTACGATCACGTTTCATACTTACACTCAGCCGCCACATTGGTTGCATTTGCAGGAAGTGCAGTTGTCTCAGTGATAGCTGCGGTGGATTGGTTGACGGGCGAAATAGGATGAAATAGGCTTGATTGTATTCTGTCAGTTCAGTCACTTTGCACTTTCTTTTGCGCGAAAAAGACCATAACTCGAGTCTGTCAGACAACTTCTCAAGGCTCAATGCACCTAATTTAGACTTCTCAAGGCACAATGCACCTAATTTAGACCACTGACCATTGAGATCCCTGATCGCGCCTGATCACCAATCCATTGAAGATTATTGAGTGCCACAGATTTCTGTGGCACCACATGCGGCTGGCATGAGGCTGAAGACAGGTACTCAAAGGTTCTGTTGACACTTGAAGTTCTCCTCGTGACAACTCCATGTTGTTATTTTTCTTTAGCATTTTGTCAGCATCATGTGTGTTTTCTACCAACCCGCGATCAACCACAACATGTTTAAACACGCGAAATATGCAGTTTGCCTTCGTTGTTTTTTCTCCAGGACCGCAGCTTGCTTTGAAGAGTCTTTTTGACCTCAGCCATTCGTGTCTTCGGCCTTTTTGGTCAACCCTAAGAGGCAACGACTGATGAGGGCGGAAGAACCGATCAAAGACGAACGAAGTGTACTTAGGGGCAGCTGCGAACTAATTGCTAATGATGATCATTGTTCGCTGCTTTACCGCATAGTGAATCCTCCTAAAGGCAGCCCAAGTGGCTTTCCGCCTGCAATTATAGTGCCGAAACCCGTGCAGCGTGCAATCATTGTTGAATCCCTGCGGACCAGGAATTGTAGATGGCTGCGGGCGGTTCAATCACCTCTCCAGAGCACAGTCGGGGTGTTTACAAGTCCATACGTCAACATTCGCGCATGGTGCTGCACCGTGAAAATCCGAAAAAGATCCAAAGGCTGAACTGAACCACCAAGTTCCTTCAACACCCGGCAGAGCTTCTATGTTTCATCCCCTGCGGAATAAACCGATTCTATAGACACCTTTTCTCTAGAACGAGATATCAACCTACCCGAAAAAGGCTAGCCTAAAAGCCAGTGCATTCACAAGTTGATTTTTCATGATGCCCAATAGGTTGAGCTATTACATGTTATAGAGAATTTATGGAGTGGTGATTCTACAGACAGAATTTGGAGTAGTGCCAGTTTTGTACAATCATTTTTCAAAGTCAATTTCAACCTTCATATTGCCTCAACTTCTCTATAGAATCGACTTCAACCTTGGATTTGTATCATTGCTTTTCCCAAATTGTGGTAACATGTATGAGGAGAACAATAGCTCTGCTCAGAAGGTTCAAAAGGTTGAGCTGAACCATTTTAAAGGGAACAGGTTCTCAGCACTGCAATAGGTTGAGATGTTATTCTATAGTTGTTTATTCTGCCCTTTGAGGTTGGTTTTCATTTTATCGCTAAAGAATTTGATTCCCGACATTCACCGGTAACTCCACAGGGGATTATGTTCCCTTTTGCTGGGACCACCAGCAACCATCAAGCGTCAGCCAAACATGGCTAACCAGCAACCCCACGATATTTGCCATAAGGAACACCTGCTGTCACCAGGAAGGTCGTCCTCCAATCCTTTCATTCCATTATATAGTTGCTATGAGGGAGGGTACGTTGACAGTGGAGATGGCGAGTTTTGTTGAGAGACCCCAACAGCGAATGTTTACAGTGAAGGTGTATGTGGGAGTTTGTTCGGACTTAAGCTCGCTTCATGCCCGCCGCGGCAACAGGTCATGGCTAAAGTGGAATGTGTTCTTCACATCATACTTGAACTTGGTTGAAACGCATTGGTCCCTGGTCCTGCAACTTTACCACCCTGATATGGGCAACAGGGCAACAAGGCCTGATTGCAACAGCACCATGCAGCTGACGAGCATATGGACTTGATATGACTTGATCGCGACCTCATGATGCCCTACCTAACCGCTAAACATGCAGACACCAGCACTGAAGACCTTCATCGGAGCAGGCGCACTTTCAAGTGCCTCAGCCGTTTGATTGTTTGGACAAATCAGCTGGTTGGCCTACCTCCCCCCAGCCAAAGGAGGTCACAGAATTTCTCAGATTTGAATCAAGTTTCAGTATGCCACGCAAAGGGAAATCCACAAGGAGGCTTAGATTCTAGATTCTACAGTAATGCTTGCGACATTGTACGAACTTGTGCTCAATGTTTGATCCTGCGTAATCAGCACAAGGAGAGTGAACAGCAACCTCGAAGCTACTAACTGCTCATCAACCACATCTATCTATCAGTCTTTGCTTACGGCATCACAAAACGACTTCCAGACGGGCATCGGTGCACTGGATGTGCACCACCAATTGCGCTCACGAGAGGGAGCAACAAAAAAGCGACCGTGATCGTTCCAAAGAAGCGACCAACTGCGTCTCTTAATCCGATGGGCGGCATCAATGGCTTCGGCTCAGTTGGTCCTTTTTTCTGTTGAGGATGATCAATGGCTTCGTTGCCCTTTTGGGATTTGGAGCTTTTGAGGGTTCAACGGTGCGCCACAGGTTACGCACCGTTGCTGCTCCACCAAGGTCTTTGGTGTAGTTTAAAGGCATTCCCGACTCACAGTGTTATAGCTGAGCATGTTTAGGATGAACTTCAAACGGGCTTTATCAAACCCACACCCTGTGCAAAGGACAAGTTTGTCGCCTAGACTTGTACATAATAAATATGCACTGACGTGATGTGCGATGAACTCTGATCCGTTACATCGCAATGAAATTTATTTGTTTCTGTACTGCGATGAACTCTGACCCGTTACATCTGAACTCTGAGTACGTTGGTCCAAATGCACAGAATATGCAAGTCTTGTGAAGCTTAACATTGATGCACAACTACAAGTTCCAGTTTCTTCTTCACCAGCTCCAGCGTCAGGTAATACTTGCGAGCCACCCTGACCATTTCTTTGTGTGCCTACAAAGCTAAGCTGACTTGGAACCTGTACATTGGCAAGCTAGCGCGAGCTGATCTGAAAGGCTCTGAACATATTAGACATGCATATATATATATATACATATCATATAAATTCATATATTCATATAATATATCATTCTCCTGCGCCTTTCCGCTTCGCGCCAATGAGCGAGAGACGGAGCGACAGAGAAGACGAGGAGCTGCCGGATCGATCCTGTGCCGCGCGGGGATCGTTTCGGAGGTCGTCCATGACGGAGACACAAGGGAAGATGAAATGGATGATAGAACGACGGAGATCAAATGGTCCATGAAGAACTGAAGATGAATGACTCATGGGTGTTCAGCGGCAACCGCGCGGCGCGGCCAGCGACAGATCCCAGGCGGATTTGCTCAATGTCCAGGTGGAGGACTGGGAAGCGGATCAAGTGATGGCTGACCAAATGTCAAAACCCAGTAACGATTTCTCAGGCTACGGTGTTAGGAGACTCATTGACCTATTGGATAGATTGGTTCACCCATGACCCATGGCCATATGGCCATGCCACATGGCAAGGGCACTTGACCTTCTGCAGTTCCCGTATTTTGCCTGAATGACTGAATGACCATGAACAAAAAGTTGGGGTCACGCACCAAGCATGTGACTTTGGCAAAATGAATCAAAATGATATCAAGACCTTCACCACCTGGATCCTCATGACGAATTCCCAGTCACCGAATGTTTCGGTCCACAGCTTCAGACTGGGAGGAGTACAACATTTGGACACCTCCGCTTTGGACTCCGCTTTCTTCGCCCGGGCCGCCCGGGACGCTCATTGGCGTAGTGAACGAAGTGACACGATGAGGTGGTGAATAGGATGAATGATGGATTTGGATTTCGAAAGCATTGATGCATATTGATGCCTTCTGATTGTTTAAATGCTTTGAAGCCGATCCAATCAGTTTTGAAAGAAACCGATTGCACTTCAGCTCCTTGTACTTCCTGCCCTTAACAGTAGCACGGACCCAAAGAAAACACGGACGTTTGGGCCTCAGTCAGACAGGCCTCGATCACCGCGGCGAGGCGCAGGAAACCGCATACGCAGCTCATTCGGTGGTGATTGGACGGAAGAAACGGATAGAAACGGGATCACAAACTTTTGTTTCAGGATTATATATCAAGGGTGATTGATTCGGTTAAAATGGCGCGCCCACTCTTGATGAGCTCAGTTGAGCGCATGATAGTGCAAGTATGTGCAAGTGCATGGCCATTCCAAAACGCGCTGTTCCTCAAAAGAGCGTTGAGTGTTCTTTGGCATGCAAGTTACCGCAGCGGTGAGGCACACACTGGAGCGCTTCGTCGCAAAGGCGAGACGGCGCACGTTCGTGTTGGCCTTCACCAATGAGAAGCATTTTTGGACGATTGATGAAGATCGAAAGCCATGGTGACGTTGGCGAAACTCGCGATGTTTCATGGACTCGTTTCGCTTGGTTCCAATCAGCTGCGTCAAAACGAGTCCGTCGAGTGCATCAATTCGCCAACGAGCCAGGACCGCTCGGCTGAAGGAGCGGATCTATGTTTTCTTCGTTCAAGAGGGAAGGAAAGCTTTTGGAAGAGGAAGACCAAACTCTCTGACCATTTTTTTTCAGGTCAGTCGAAAAGCTCAGTGCTTGTCCGTTTGACCTTTTCATTAGGAAATTAGGGTCGACCCAATGGACAGTGCTTGTATTTGGTCCCTGTCAGTGTCCTCGAGTTTGGGTCATGTGGAGTTGTTGGTCAGGAACGGAAGTCACGCTGTCGACAGTGGTAGGGGGAGTCGAGCGTTTCATGCACCGGAGGATGGCAATGTCAGGGCAGCCCAGACTGCCCAGATATACTGATTTATGATTGATTGACTTAAGATTCATTGAATGCTGGCACTCCCTGGCGGCAATGTTCTTCTTTGGGCTATATAATTAATAATGTTTTCTAGCTTCTATCCAGGTCAGGTGCCATCAGCGGGGAAAACCACCATGCCATGTTCACTGAAATGATAGAGGACCGGAGATGACAGGGGCATGCAGGATGGTACCATGCTAGTTTTCCTCAAACAAAGCACTCCCCTCCCTGCTCGTTTAAAGCAGAACGTTACAGCTGAGCTAGCTCTTTCATTGCTAATAAAGCTTTGTTATTGTAAAAGTGCCTTGTGTTTTTATAAAAGTACTTTGGAAAAACTGCCAAAACCAAAAACTTACATTCCAAAACCAAAGTACAAAAGCCAAAAGTCACCAATTCAAAGCAACTTGATACTGTTACAGTTACTTTTTGAACCAGGTAAGCT